TATAAGTAAGCATGGAAGTCAGCTTATAAGTTTTATTATGAACACATATTTATAGATGTATTCAACTTAAATTTTTCTTATTTATGTTTTTAAATTGACCTTGACTATTTACAAACTATAAGTGCCATCGGGAGATATTTTAAAGAAGAAAGGAAATAAGTTGACAAGTATTAAAGCTAAAGGTTTTCCAGGTTTGTTAGAATATAATCCTTTCTACATATTTATTTTCAGTTTGCATGTGCATACAACTCAGTAAAGAGCATGGTAGAGAAAAGGCATGTCAAAAGCCACTAACAAGGAAGGCAAGAGCAGGGTCTGAGCATCCTCATCATCCATGAAAGTGGTTCTATTTAATCCTTGAGGCTGGAAAGTCATTGTAGAAATCCCAAGGAGATGGATGTGATACCCTGGATGATGGCTATGATGGCAGAGTATACGGAACCAGGGGTTGAAGCTGAGGGCAGACTGGGCAGTCACAGCTTTGAACAAAAACTACAAGAGCAGTAATTAAGGAACTGATAGTAAATCTAATGTTAAGAGAGCCAAAGAAGAAACCTGAGAAATGGCTCAGTCAGTGAAGTACTTTGCTTGCAAGCATGAGTATTTGAGAGTGCAATCTCCACAAGTCACCTAAAATAAAGTTAGGCATTGGGGCACACACTTTCCAGAGTTGGAAAGTAGAGACAGGGAGATACATGAGGCTCAGTGGCCAGCTGGCCTCACTTACTTGGCAAGTTCAAGACCTGCTAGAAACGCTGTCTCAGAAACCGAGGTGGACAATACATGATGAACAGCACTCCAGCTTGTCTTCTCTTTTTAGTGCTTATGTACACAGACACACACATGCACGCATGCACACATGTGTGTACAAACACATACAAACACACAGGATACAATAAAAGGACTTAGTTTAAAGGATGCTGTGGAAAGGGTTTGAAACTAGTAGGAAGATAAGGGCTTGCATGTCTCTAGTGATATTTGTCACATAAGGGCAAATATCGGGGCCCTAGATAAAAGATGTCATAAACATTTCTTAAACTGTTCAAATCAATGCCATTGAAAATGCAGCGAACACGTGCTCCAAGAAAAAAGAGCAAATCTGCTGACATTACTGGCACTTGTCTTCATAATATGCAGGTCAAATCTACATGTTTCATGGTTCATTTTTTTAAAAGGGCATATGGAAAGAGAACAAGGAAGAAAGAGATTTAATGCTGGAAGATTAGGGCACAAACCCCTTGATATCTAACAGCAAGGGTACAGGGAAAAACAATAACCAAAGTTCAATGTCACATTTTCCCAGTTCTCAGAATGACAAAATATTATTCATTCATATCTTGGATTTGATTTTCTGTCTGGAATAAAATGAAGGTGTAGATTTTGAATTTAAAAAAAAATAATTTGTGCTTTCTCTGAAAATGCACAAATGTTTACAAGACATGACTCTTCAAGAACCAATTCCAAGTAAAGTAAAATTTGGGCCCCACTCCTCTTTCTCATTTTTCTAGATTCACTTGCCCTCCATCTTTCTTCCTTATGCCTCTGCCTCTCAAGCTCCCAAGGGCACCGCACCCCTCATCTCAGGTGGGGATGCTAGTCTCTACGAACTCACAGTTCTCTTGGGAATTTGAAGTTAAAGATAAAAAGCCATAAGACAGAGGTTTTCTTGGTTTAAGATTCTAACCCTATGATTCTAAGAATCAATAAAGATGAGCAAAAAGCAGATCTGTGAATAAAACAAAAACCTGAATCTCAGGAGCAAGGCCTATTGTTGGTAGCAAGCTACTATTTGAATAGTCCCTGAAAGGTACAATATACTTGTCAAGACATGTAGAAGTAACCTGGCTATTTCAACCATACCAACAAATCTATTCACGTTAAGTAATTATAGAGTAGGAACTGAAAAGTAAAAAGACATTAATGAAGATAAATATGTATGCATCATGAACTTAATTTGGAATTCTTTGTGTTTCATACAAAGTGGGAAGGTCACACACACACACACACACACACACACACACACACACAAATGCGTGGAGGTGTAAGATCTGAAAAGAACTTCAAGTTGGAAAAAGACATCAACTGCAATTATATTCATATGCCCTATTTAGAAGAAAAAAAACATCCTGAAACCATCCCCAGTATGGAAATGAAGGCATTTGTTGACTGCATTTTTTCTCTTTCCTCTAATTAGTTATGCTTCAGAACTTATTAAACCGCTTCAGATCTGACTCATTTAACCGCTTGACACCTTGGACACACAAAAGAATTATGCCCTACCAAGAGACTGCATAGAAGCCAGGATCTGACCCCAAAGAATAAGAAAGCACCTGTTTCTGAATCCAGAGGTTTGAAGTAATTTGAACATGACCTCCCTTCTCTAGCCTTCCTTTCTCTATGGCAGATTCCATAATAAGGAAAGCAAGGCTACTGAATGAAGTTATACAAAATTTGACAACTGACTCATCAGGCTACAAGGGAAGGGGAAGTGAATGGGGAGAAGAAGGGAGAGAGGGGTAAGGGAGTGGAGAGAAGAGAAGAGGAGGAGAGGGGAGAGGAGGGGAAGGAAGGGGTGAAGAGGAGAGGGGTGGTGATGGTGGGAGGAGAGTGATAGGAGACAAGAGCTCTTGTAGGGGAAGGGACAGGAAGAGAAATGACAGGTAAGGACAACAAAGGCTGAAGATAGCTTACCTGGTAATTTTTGAAATTTCTTCCAACTTGGAATTATTTCAAAGGAAGTTAATAAATAATTTAAAAGGAACAAGAAGAAAGGAGAGAGAAAGGAAGGGACAGTCATCGCACGCCCGTGTGATTGGTGAGTTAGCTAGCCGCCACCTCTCCTCTGCTCTGGAAGCATTGTTCCGGAGTCTTAAATGTTAAAAATTGTACACTAATTGCCTCTTGGCGGAAGTAATTCCTCTTAAGGTCCCATTAAAAAAAAATACAAAAGGAAGAAGGCTGTCAGAGAGGTATCCACAGAATTCGACTCATTAATTTCGATAGGACTCATGTGAATCCCTAGACTTGGGAGAAGAAAGATCAAAAGCACACGCTCACATAAATAAAATGTGGCAGATAAATGGGACCAGCCTTAAACCTGGGGGGCCCTGTGTTCATTTCATGGTGTCATTGGCCAAAGTCAGAAGCCATTTCCTTTTCAAACGGAAGGAAAATGCACTTTTTTTGTCTGTCCTGCTGAGCAAACAGCTCCATTTGAACAGGCCCAAGTCAGAGGCACTGTCCTTGCTGCTATTTCCAACCCTTTAGAGTGGTTAACGAGGGGTAGGGTAATGAAAGAAATGAAGCCAAGTAAATGATGGCTTCCAACACTCACTTCCATACCGTGATGTTTGATGCCTGTTTACCCATCGTCCCTACTGACAAGATCATTAAGGAGAAGACAAATGTATCTGTTCACTGGGTGGGGGATGTGTTTTATCGTCTTCTTTAAGCACACAAGAATGGTCATAGCATGGATATGCTCCACTTTAGCACAAAGGGCTGTTCTGGTGATGTGAGGCTTCCGTGAAAGATCATGACTCTTTTCTCCTCCAGCAGACCAAAGCTAAACATCAAGCAGCAATGTCAAGTACACCCAGAGTGCTGATTCCCAAGCCCTCTGCTATTTCCTTGCAATAATATTTAAAGAGAAATAATTCCTGCAAGAGACTTAACTGTAGCCATAATATTCTTTCAAACAGCTAAAGGTTGCTTGGCAAACAATGGTATTCTATTCTTTGCAGCCCCAATTTATTTTCTACTAGTTTTTACAAAAACCACTTTCCAGCAAAAGGTCATTTTTTTCTCCATTCTGAATTCTGTATTTTTCAAATAATTGTACTTTTTGAAATCGGGTTTTCTTTTTTTATTTGTTTTTTTCTTCCTCAGATTCCACATTGATTTTCATTTTTGTCTTTGCAGTGTCTAGCACCCACCAGTCAGTCTTTCTCTCATGAGAATCCATCGGGCTACGGTAGGTTGACCTCGGTAGCAAAAAATAAAAAAATAAAAAATCCAATAGTTTAAAGATTGAACTCATTTTTCATGAGGCACAGACCATGAAAAATATGATCAAAATGAAGCTGACAGTGTGCAAATCTTAAGTTATTTTACTTGAGAGAAACACAAGCTCGCCTGACCTCCCATTTTTTCCATGATTCCATGATTCCATGAACCTGTTGCAGGTATTTGAGCAGAAAGTGATCTAAAGATTCATTCAGCAAGTTTGTTTACCAAAACGTGCACCTTACACTAATGGCCACTGTATGTTAAGTTGTTTTTTTTTTGTTTGTTTGTTTGTTTTAATTCTGTCAGATTCGTGGAGTGTTACCTCCTTGGTGTTGCTCTGTTGGATTCTTACCTACTTAGTATCTGAACTTTAGAATAAATTTATCATCAGCCAACTAATTTTTCTGGGTAAAGAAAGCAGATGGATGGGACCGGCTTTACAAACCTAAATTTAATTTCCTCCCATTGTGTTTGCTCCTCTGAGTCTCATTAGCCTCCTCAGCACCATCTTCTTCAGAATTCACCCACCACCATGAGGCAGGACCATAGGGAGTAGGATGATGTGTAGTCAACCCTCTCTTTATTACTAACTAGCTGGGAAAGTCTTCGTACTTCCTCAGCCCTTGCCAGGCTCTTCCCTAAAGGCAGAGGCTGACTAGATAGATCTATGGCCCTCCAAGACCAACTCCCTGCATTGCTAATCTGAAAATAGTTCCAAAAGTAAATTCCCGCTTACCAATGAGGGTGGACATTAGGCTTTAGGCTGTGGTCAGCTTTTATCTAAACGAATGTAATGCGACCCTATGTTCTGCATTAGCTGTGACTGAGACTAATGTTCTTTGCTGAAACAGCTACAAGTTTCCACTGAAATTCATCACCTTAGTAGTGACCCCTTTTCCAATGTCACCAAACAGAAGGGATTTCTGTTTAGAAACTTGAGAAACTCCAGGACTGTAACACACTTGTTATGATGTCAGAAAAATTCACAGTACCTAAAATAGCCACCACCTCGTCATCCTGGATAACTTCCAGGGACCCCGACACCACAAAGCAGAGGGCATCCACACTTTCTCCAGCGTGATAAATCAGGTCCCCAGGAGCACAGTGAATGGTTTGGAACTCCACTGCCAAGGCACGCAGGCATCCATCGCTGGCCAATCGGAATGCAGGATGTTCGTTAAAAACCTTCCGGTTCAGATGAACGCAGATGTCAGCTCTCATGTCCTTGGGACATATGGAGAGGACCTGAAAGAGTGAAAAAGGCATGAGTAAAAGGGAAAGATAAAGGGTCTATTTCAGAAGAAAAAAAATGTCACACAACAAATGCTTATTGACCACTACTGTGTCTGCTAGACACGGTGCTAGGTACCTGGAAGGCAAAGTTAGACACTGGCCGGTCCTCAAGGAAATCAGGATCCAGTGAGATGCACTGATGTACACACAGACATTACAGCATCAGATCGTATAAGCACAGCACAATGTAGTCAACATTAGAGGAGAGAATGTTTCCCTATTTCAACACAGTCTTGAGACTCCAGCAAGAGTCTTGGCAAAAGTTATAGTCAATCCTGAAAACATGTGCATGCAAATAACGTTACACAAACTGAGTGGATTACATTGGTTTATTTATGAATATATGTGTGCTTATTATTATATATGTACATATATATTAACAATTGTATAAAATGAGGCTATGGATTTGGAAGAGACTAGGGAGTGACTAAAAAGAATTTAGAGAATGGAAAGAACAAATAATATAATTATACTAGCAAATTGAATCCAAGAACACATCAGAACCATCATCCACCATGACCAAGTCAGCTTCATCCCACAGATGCAGGGATGGTTTGACATATGAAAATCTGTCAATGTAATTCACCATATAAACAAGCTGAAAAATAAAAACCACATGATCATCTCATTAGATACTGAAAAAGCATTTGACAAAATACAACATCCCTTCATGATAAAGGTCTTGGAGAGAGCAGTGATACAAGAAACATACCTGAACATAATTAAGGCAATATACAGCAAGCCAACAGCCAACATTAAACTAAATGAAGAGAAACTCCCAGCGATTCCACTCTCTTCATGTCTATTCAATATAGTTCTTGAGGTCCTAGCTAGAGCAATAAGACACCAAAGGGAGATCAAGGGGATACAAATTGGAAAAGAAGAAGTCAAATTCTCACTGTTTGCTGATGATATGATAGTTTACATAAGTGATCCCAAAAATTCTACCAAAGAACTTCTACAACTCATAAACACTTTCAGCAATGTAGCGGGATACAAGATTAACTCAAAAAAAAAAATCAGTAGCCCTCCTGTACACAGATGATAAAAGAAGAAATCAGAGAATCAACACCCTTCACAATAGCCACAAGCATAAAATATCTCGGAGTAACTCTAACCAAACAAGTGGAAGACTTATATAACAAAAACTTTAAATCTTTGAAGAAAGAAGTTGAAGACACCAGAAAATGGAAAGACCTCCCATGCTCTTGGGTAGGCAGAATTAATATAGTAAAAATGTCAATCTTTCTGAAAGCAATTTACAGATTCAACGCAATGCCCATCAAAATCCCAGCAAAATTCTTCAAAGACCTTGAAAGAATGGTACTCAACTTCATTTGGAAAAGCAAAAAACCCAGGATAGCCAAAACAATCCTGTACAATAAAAGAACTTCTGGAGGCATCACAATCCCTCTCTTCAAACTCTACTACAAAGCTACAGTACTGAAAACAGCCTGGTATTGGCATAAGAAGAGACAGGAGGACCAATGGAATCGAATAGAAGACTCGACTATCAATCCACACATCTTTGAACATCTTATCTTTGATAAAGAAGCAAAAAAATATCAAATGGAAAAAAGAAAGCATATTTAACAAGTGGTGCTGGCATAACTGGATGTCAACCTGTAGAAGAATGAAAATAGACCCATATCTATCACCATGCACAAAACTCAAGTCCAAATGGATCAAAGACCTCAACATAAAGCCAGCAACACTGAACCTTATAGAAGAGAAAGTGGGGGGGGGGGGGGCTGGAGAGATGGCTCAGAGGTTAAGAGCACTGTCTGCTCTTCCAGAGGTCCTGAGTTCAATTCCCAGCAACCACATGGTGGCTCACAACCATATGTAATGAGATCTGGCGCCCTCCTCTGGCATGTGGGCAGACATGGAGGCAGAATGTTGTGTACATAATAAATAAATAAATCTTTTAAAAAACAAAAAAAAAGAAGAAGAGAAAGTGGGAAATACACTTGAACAGATTTCAATCTTTCAAGGGTAAAGCTTAGTTCTCCCATTCATTAAATTAGTAATATTTAATGTAGAATGTCTTTCTTTCTTTTTAAAATTATGTTTTAACTTTAGATTCCCCCCCCCAAGGCTTGAAGTACCCCAACTATCCCTCTTATTTGTATTACTATAAATATAGCACTGGATGCTTCCCTGCAGGAATGCTTGATCTATCATACAGTATAATAAAATTATATTTCTGAATCCTTTGTCTCTACCTTCCCTATGACTACATTTTATTTCATATCATGATCATCTCCATTATTTTCTTTCTCACCGTTTTTCAAATTCCTATAGACAACAACCATCAGTTTACTTGCCTTTCTGAAATGTCTCCTCTTTAAAGAAATTAATGCCCTACTGGGACTTAAAAAGCAGTTGGTACTTCCCCATATTAACATTTCCAGTAGTGATAATAAATATATCAGGCTTTAGTGGGTTTGTCTAAACCCACTAAAGGTTTTAGTGTTTAGTAAGTTCAGATCACTCAGCAGGCACCTACTCAGTTTCTGCTATGTGTCATTGTGTTAAATCCCTGGATATGTATAAATAGACATCATCCCTGCTGTAGAAAATCTAACAATGTGTTTGGAAGACAGACATGAAGAGACACTTACAATGTAGTGGAAAAATACAGTGACAGGGACACAGGAGCACAAGTTACCAATGAGTCTTGGCTTTCAGCTTCTAACATGAGGTCATAAGGTTAAGTTCAGGAGGACTGGAGTCCAGGTTCAGTTAATGTGTAGGAAAGTGTTTCTCAACCTTCTTAATGCTTCAATCCCTTAATACACTTTCTCATATTGTTGTGACCCCCGTAACTATAAAATTATTTTATTACTACGTCATTGCTATAATCTTGCTACTATTATTAATTGTAACATTTATTTATATTTATTTATTATATTTATTTACATTTCTCTTATATTTAGGATATCTGATATACAGCCTCAAAGGGATAATGACCCACGGGTTGAGAGCTACTGGTCTAGGGTATTTTACTTACTTTCTCCAATCATCTCATATGATATAAGGATACTGTGCACTGGTATCATAAGTTCATGGTAAAAAATTTAAATTATCATCTATAGCCTGCACATAGCCAAGGCTGAAAAAATGCTAGCTTTTATTACCACTTGTATGTATATTCCTATAGTTTTTTTTAGCCCTCTGCTGAATCTATTTCCTTCTACCCCTGTATAAGTCCATGCTGTTTGATAAAATAAATTAAGGAAGTACTTTAACATAAATCTGAACATACTTTGAAAATAGGCTAAGATTAATATATTTTTAAGTTGAAAATATAAGCTATTTTTAAAGCATACACACACATTAATACTACATTATCAAGCACAAGGGAAAAATGAATTGCTCTTTTTTTTATCCATTTCCCATACAGGATTTTTATTGGTTTGTATTCATTTTTGAGACAATCATTTTAAGCCATTTTAGTTATTTCTTTCTGGACTCATATTGCAATTGGAATCTTCTAATATTTAGAAAAATCTCTGTTTACTAAAAGATGATTTTCATTGTATGTTAAGTACAGTTCTGCTTTTTCTGTTTCAATTAACTTCTGACACAAACACTGTTTTGCTTTTTTTTGAGATTGTAATCACTTACTATTTTTATTTGTCTTACATTGGATTTTGAAACCAGACTTTTTTATATATGCAAAGCTGACCTTGAATTTATTATGTAATCCAGGCTGGCCTCAAATTCATGGCAATCCTCAGACTCCCAAGTGTGGAAATTGCAGGACTGTATCACCCACTTTTACGTCCTGCTTTCACTAATTATATTGATTTATGGCACATATGTACAGTTGCCATAAAGTGACAAGTTAGTTAAGTGCTAAAATAGACCAAGCAGAATCATGCCTAATGATAACAAGCTCCCTCTCCACCCTTAGACAAACCATCTTCCTGACATGGTGGGTGCTATCAGAATTAAAAGCATATTATTATTTATCTTGGAAATGATGATATTCATAACATTTTGGGCAAGAAAAAATGTAGTTTCAAGCAACAGAATAAAAAAATATCATTTAAGATAACTCACATGCATAGTACATGGTTCAAATTGTAGTGTATTGTTATGACAGTCAAATCCAATATTTTCCTTGGTAGGTTCTCTAATGGTATCTCACAATTGCCAGCAAATAAAATTATACCATGGTGAAGAACATTCAGAGTAAGAGTGACTTCTGCTCATCTCCAGTGTGTATTATGTCTACCTTCATCATGTTAGCATATTAACAAATTAGATTCTTAATTAAGAGAAGCAATAAATTTTCCCTTGGAAGAGCAATGAAGTATTTAAGGAATCATTTCTCATAACACTGAAAACCAGCTCTGAAAAACAGGTGAATGCCAGACTTTGAACTCTAAAACATTTATGTATTATTTATGACATCCATTAAACCCAAGGTCAAGAGCTATAGTAGCTGAAATCTTTCAGGATATGAGGGTCTAATCTCAACACTATGGCTACAGAACCCTCAGCAAAATAAATATGGTTACCTTATCTCTGATTTCTTAAAATAATTCATGGCTTGCTTCCTTCAAGTAAAGGCAACATTCTAGCCAGGCTTGTGGGGCTTTAGTGGGACCCTCTGCCTTTCTCTCTTCCCCCACAGGCACATCTCAGCCACACCTTTCTCACCCTTCTCAACTTGCCATGCACCTGGTGATGTTTCACGTGTGTTTTTCTCTTGATTGGCAGGTTCCATCATCACTTTCTGTGTCTTATCATCTCAGATTCATCTTTCTGTGACAAACGCAACTTCTACATAGTTCAATTATAGAATAGAGGATTTATTAGGAAACAAAACTAAGATGAAGAGGTCTTATGATTTGTTTATGCAGAAAAAAGCAATGAAATTATTGTCAGAGCTTTGAAACATTTATTTTCAGCCTTAAAATATGTTTTAGTGTTTTTCTAAT